AAATTCAAAGGCTCAGTCCAAAAATGGGCATCTGACATGAATAAATACTTCCCACATGAAGAAACACAAATAGGAAATAAATATATGAAAAAATGTTCAACATCCCTGGTCATTTGAGAGATGCAAATTAAAGCAACACTGAAATTCCATCTCACTCTAGAAAGAATTGCTATCTTCAAGAAATCAACCAATTACAAATGTTGGAGGGGACGTGGGGAGAAAGGAACCCTTCTCCACTGTTGGTGGGAGTGTAGAATGGTACAACCAATGTGGAAATGAGTGTGGAGATTCTCAAAAAACTAGGCTTGGAGGTTCTATTTCACCCAGCTAGTTCCCTTCTGGGTATCTTCTCAGAAGAATTAAAAACATTGTACCACATCAATATATATGCACCCATATTTATAGCAGCACAATTTGTCATAGCTAAATCTTGGTGTCTCAGTCACTTTTCTCACACTGTTGAGACAAAATACCCAAAACACAAAACTAAGGAAGGGAAAGTTTATTTACCTCACAGTTTGTGGAGGTTTCCGTCCATAATCTGCTGGCTCCAAGGTAGGGTGGCACATGGCAGAGGTCCACAGTTCATGGCAGCAGAAAACAGCAAAAGCAGCAACAGCAAAAAGGCAGGGAGAACAAGCCTCTTTTTCTTTGTAACCCAAGCTGACCACCAACTCGCAGTGATCCTCCTGCTTATATTGTAAGCAGGCAACTCTTACCCAGGGGGCGTGTAGGGCTCACATAATCTCCAAGCCCTCCTCTTGCACAGGCTGAGGATGATACAAAGTAAGAACCTTGGGTCTCTGCTCAGCACTTAGTTCACCTTCTAAACTTCTCAATTTGACACAATGAGCAACATGCCAGAGCTATAAGGGCATGTCCTTCTCACCCAGGGATGTAGACCTGCTGAGTCACTTAGCCAAGCCTCTGGACTCCTCCAGTTGACACAATGTATCAATCGTAATACTTGGAAACAACCCAAATGAGGATCAACCAAAAAATGAATAAAAGAGATGTGGTCTTTTTACACAATGAAGTGCTACTCAGCCATAAAGAAGGATAAACTCTAGACTTTTGTAGGTAAATGGATACAGCTCGAGACCATACTCATCAGTGAAATAAACAAGATATACATGTGTAAACAGTATATTGTCCGCTTAGTGTGAGAAGTCGAGAGTAAATAAGATCGAAAATATAAAACAGCTATTGTAAAATGTGAAGAAACTTTAAAAGGAAAGAGAAACTTGGGTGGAAGAATGGTGAAAAGAAAGAGGGGAAAAGCAAAAGTACACACATATATATATATATATACATATATATATACATATATATATACATATATATATTTATACTACTAATTTCTCTTAGGTTGTTGAAAAGAAATGTTTGTGCTAATATTGTTTGCATAATTAAATGCTGATATAGTGTACTCTGAGTAACTAATTTAAATATAACAATAAGCAATGCATTAATCATAGTTACCCTCTTATTTTCTTGTTTTGAAATTTAGTTTTATTATGTTTTCTCTTTAAAATACAAAGACTTGGCTTTTAATCTGACTGCCTAATATAGTAAAGTTTTTCACTTCTTTATTAACATTTTTTATGCATTTCTATGACAAAATAGAAAAAAGGAAAGTATTTATTTTCCTCTAAGTAATACTGAACTATGTTGAATTAATCTTTCATAAAACAGGTATTTGTATTCCTGTGCACTAATTAATTGAAAGTTGTCAGTATGTTTAGATATTTATGATAAAGTATAATAAATCAAATTCACTGAATTTACTGGATTGAAATTGCTGTTATCACAGCTACAAACATTAATAAAATATAATTATTGCTGTTTTTAAAGACAAGAATTCTTAATAGTATATATTAACTGCAAAATTGTCAGTTTAACGAATATTCTTATTAATCATGTTTTCCTACTGATTCTATTTCTAGGGAAAATAATCAATTTCCTAAAAATAGTTTAATGCAAATTCCTTTCAAATTAATAAGCTTATTTCAGTTTCTTGTTGAATCTGTTCCACTTTATGGGACACAGTGAGAGGCTCACTCCTCCTCATTATGTCTTGGATTTTGAGGGAGTGTTTGCAGCATGTCACTGTACAGTATTTACAACATGTCTCTTCGTCCTTATATATCACTTCTGCAAAATGTCTTTTATTATTTATTTTGGTGGAGTTATAAACCTTAGTGTTTAAAATTAGTGTTACTCACTTTAATCTAGAAGAAAACGCAAATCATTTTTTGTAGAATAAAACCACTATGTCCTGAGGCAGTAGATTTGTGTAGATCCTTGCCATCCACCTCCCCCCCCCCATTTATATTGTTATCTTTCTTGTTTTGGTTCATCAATTTTTGTTCACTTATATATCACATTGAGCTTTTACTGCTGTGGTTCTTATGATTACATTATTAGCACATATGAATTCTGATAGCGAATGGAATTCATTGTGATATATTTGTACATACTGAATGCGACTGTCCTCTGTACTTCTCCCTATCCCAGTTCTATCCTCCAGACTCCTTCCTGTCCCTGTGGCTCCTCTTTTCCTTAAGAATTTTTATCTTGTTAGCGTCCACATGTGAGTGAATATATTTGCTATTTGCCTTTCTGTGTCTGACTTATTTGCTGAATATTTTCCATTAAATCAATATTCCTATGAATGACAGGATTTTGTTATTTTTTATGTCTAAGTAATACTGTGTACATATACTTTTTTTTAACCATGCATCCATTGACAGGCATCTAGGCCAATTCCATTTCTTGGTCATTGTGAATAGCACTGCAGTGAGTATCTCCTGTATTTTACATCTTCATGTCCTCCACATGATAGCTTCAGACAGATTTCACCTTGGTTACTTTTCTTTCCTCCACATTCAGATCTGAACCTTTCATATATTAGGGTTAAGATGTACATGTTTAGTGAATGAACATATGAGTTTTGTTTTTCCCTATACCATATTCACTGTAGTCTCTAAATTTTACAGAGCTCCATGGCAATGCTACCTCATTTTAACAAACTTTTTTCATCCACTTCATTTTTTTTTTGTCTTTATGAGACAACGTATCACTATGCAGTTCAGGCTGTCCTTGAACTCATTTTGTAACCCAAGCTGACCACCAACTCGCAGTGATCCTCCTGCTTCAGCTGCCCAAATGCTGGGATTACAGGGGTGTGCCACCATGCCCACCCAGCCTCATCTACTTCAATTTATCCATATATATATATATATATATATATATATATATATATATATATATATATATATATATATATATATATATTTTTTTCCCCCCACCCCCCTTCGGTACCAGGAATTGCACTTACAAACTTGTGCTTGCCAGGCAGGCGCTGTGAAGCTGAGCTAAATCCCCAGCCCCTATCCTTCTACAATTGAGATAAGCATTTTGATATGTTCCATACAACCTTCTTTCCTCATTGTAATTGACTCACCTTATTTCATGTTGCCATGTAGTAGTTTACCTGTAGTTGCTACACCATTCTAAATAGTGAATGGAAAAACATCAGGATACTGGTTTGGTTCCTCTTTGTTTTCCCATCCAGGCACCTTGTCTGAGAGAAATGAAAGGATTACATTGATCCTTTCACCTTGCTCAGTGTCTCTCTTCAAGTTGAACAAAATGGGAGGAAAGAGACATGGGTAGATTTCTTATATAGTAACCAACTTACATTGAAGGATTTTCTGTGCCCCTGCTAAACTGACTTGATCTTTCTGGCATCCTCACTGGCTCTTGGATTATCTGAACTAATGGTGTCTTTAATCTTCACAATGTCCTGCTCTCATGCTTGGACTTTCTCCTTTCAGGTTGGGATATTCTACTTGTGGAAACGTCACACTAGATTGCAACATAGATAAGTTCATTCCTGGACTTTGTCTCTAAAAGCTTGCACTGCTGCAATGACATTTAACGATGTGGGAGACAGGTGAAGTCCCATGGGCACAAGACCATGCCTCTGACCTCTCCAAAGTGCTGCTATGGGAAATGTCAGCATGGTTTGCTGTGGCTCTTGGTCAAAGTATGCAATGGGAAAGAATTAATTTATATGCCATTTTTTTTAGGCTAACAATGTTATGTTTCATAAAATGAAACATGAGTATAATTTTCAATTAACTTACACTGACTTTATGTGTAGGATAAATCTTTCAAAGATTGTGATTTTAATTTGTGTATCCAATAATTTCAGCTGTTGTATGAATTAGTAATTTTTAAAAGTTTATTTGTTAATTAAGTGATACGTACACAAGTTTCTGAATTTTTTTATTCACTTTTTTTTCTCCTTTTCTGTAAGCCTTATGTTGTTCTAATTACCCAAAAATTTAAAGATCTAAATGTGCTATGATGTGGAAAATGTATAATGTAGAACATTAAAATTTGTCTTTTTTCCAGTTGCATGATTGTTAAGTTGATATATCTTTAGATAGATTTCTGCCTCCGTCATGAGCAACCATTTTTCAAAGTAAAACAGAGAAAAGTAGACTGAAAATGTTTTAATGAACTGTGCTTTAGAAAAATAATTTTAGCAATAAATTTGACTAAAAAAATTCTGTGGCTAAATTTTTCAAAGCCTTCACTATATTATGTGGCTTGTAAATCTCTTTAAAATGGCTAAATTTGCATCATTTTCAAATAATGTTATTTACAAATAACATATATTTTTGTGACGCTAATACCCCATAAACATACTTTGAAATGAAGTTTATATTCTACATATTCTACTGTACCTTATTCTTCACATTTAGTGTATAAGTGTGTCTTGTGACACTGATGGATGATTTTTTAAATATTAAAAATGATTCATCACATTCTGGCAAATGGATACTTCAGAGTTTATTTAAAAATAGTTATTGGCTAACATTTTTGCTATTTTGTGGTTATTTTTATTTTGGGTTGATTTTTATTGCATGAAAAGCTCCATCCCAGTCTTTGTCAATTCTTCATTGACTGTGTGCTTTTTATTTCCTCAGATAAACTCCTGCAAATGGAAACGATGTCTGAGATCAACTCTGTCCAGAAACATGAGGCTAATTTTCACCCTTCCATCTGCAGCATATGACCATATTCGTTCTCAGTGCTGCATAGAAATATTTTGAAAGTTTTAACCTTCAGAAGTTCAAAAATGTCATGGTGAGTTTAACATGGATATTTCACTTCTGTATCTGAAAACTACTTTAAGGACATTCTTGTGTTGATTGTGTTTTTGTAAATTTCTTTATGAATTACCTATGAGCATCATTTTCTTTCTTTCTCTATTTCAGTGTTACTATTTGTTTAGCAATAACAATAGCATTTTGCATTTTTAAGATAACCTTTAGTCTTCCATATTTTCATATTTGCTGTTTTTCACTTTTTTCAATTGCTCATACATGCAGAATATTTATATGTGTATGTGTATACATATGGACATAAGTCATGCCAATGTACTGTAATTTTAGTGGGTTGATGTTTATCATATTTTCTCAATTAACCTAATTGTAGAGCCATTAAAATTATTCCTCCAATTTTTATTTCTCATAATTATAAGCCATTATACTTTCAACTATTTTATGATTGAAAATACTTGCATGATTAAACAGCTTGTGATATATAATACTCTTTATTCAATAGTTGAACCTATAATTATAGATTATATAAACTATTCCATCAGGTTATAGATTATATACACCATTCTCCTATATTTTCATCTAGTTTATGCTTTCCAAATATTTACTTAAGGGGCTGATTAAATGGTCTTGCTTTCATAGACAATACCGTTTATTTAATCTTTGGACCTAAATACAGTATTGTACCTTGTTCCATTCCAACTTATCTCATTGAGTTCTGTGCTGTATTATCATCTAATCTTGTTTTGAACATGAAGGCTGTGTATATTAATAAACATTGCTCTTGGCACTGTCTTGTTCTGCTTCTCTATTCAAATTTTTAATAAAACTATGGTGCATCAGAGTACTTCTTCATGCAAAAATCCACAAAGTAGTTCATTTTATAAACCTCTGTAGGGTGAAATGTCAGATAACAATCATTGAATATTAAGACTCAGTGTAAACATCCCATTATTGAACTCACACTTTGTCATTATACCACCTTACTAAAATCCACAGTTTCTACATCGATAGTGTTGGTTGATTTTTTGAACAAATGACCCTATTTGTAGTTGCTGCTTTTCCAAAATCATCATTTTCTTTTCCAAACAGCTGCATCAATGAGTTTCCTATAAATCTTAATTAGTTCCAGCCTGTAGGAAAATCAAGTTGCAAAAAGTGAAGTGCAGGCATTAGGGCAGAAAACATTGGTTACACCACTTTGACTCTGGCTTTCTTCTCCATCATCAAATCATGACACATCTGTAGTGACACGACAATCACTAACCAGACTTTTCATCCTTTAATTTCCAAATCCTGTGAGTATGCCTTCCTCTGTACATACAGTCATAATGCTTTGCTGTCTAAAATTCTGCTCATATTACTTATGGTTCTAGAACATCATCAACTGCCCCGTGTACCCTCAATAAATATTAATTACCACCACTAATTAGAAATGTTGACACATGCATTTCTAATTACAATTGAGGTTACATCTGAAGAGAAGAAGGTTTCAGTTAATTAAATATCAGGGAATATTTTCACAAGATTGGAGACATTTGACAATGCAATCAAGTCCAAAGTATTTTGTGGAAGTGTTTTGAGACATAAAATATTGCTTTAACTATGCTAAAATAGAAATATCCTCTGCTTTAGAATAGGCTGCTTAATACCCTAGAGGTACATATGTTTTCCGTTTCTAGAGACTTCTATTAACCTGTATGCTTATTTAAGAGCTTAAATAAAAAATTATTATGCATATAATTTGTTGTTATTATATTGTGTATTTTTAATTTTTAAGTGTATTTTAAAATGTTAAATGGTTTCTTTGGTGCTGAAGACATTGAGACAAAATCCAAAATCATTACAATGATGTGTAATATAGTAAAACTAAAAATTTGATTCTTCCTTTGTGTCTAATCAAATGTCTTGCTGTGGTCTCACAAAATCTTTGGGTCTGAGAGCACACACCATTTTCCTCAATGCTGCAAGGTTAATTCGATATTTCACAGATTCTTATTATTTATTTTTTTATTTTTATTTTTTTGTCCTTATTTTTTTGTCCTCAAAATGAGGCAGGGTCTCATTTTGCAGTTCAGGATGGCCTTGAGCTCACTTTGTAGCTCAGGCTGGTCTCAAACTCGCGACGATCCTCCTGCCTCAGCCTCCCAAGTGCTGCGATTACAGGCATGTGCCACCATGTCTGTCACTTCACAGATTCTTGACTAATGTGATCTATGCTGAAAAACAAGTCCTATGTGTCCCCAAGCTAAGATCAAGATAACTGGAGAGCTGAACATCACAACACTGTTATGAAATTATACCGCTACAATGGAAAAGAATTGTATTCAATTTATGTGCAATTGCATCACTGAATTTCTCTTTTGACAGCCCAAATTAACAAAATCCTTTTGCACTGGTATTCCAGTTTACATTGCTATGTGTAAGGAAGAGGAAAGTGATAAATCATTAATCAGAATTGAATACTATATTATAGAAGTGTGTTGAAGCATATCTGAGGTCTATAAATTATCACTTAATTTACATTTTTAAAAGTATCTCTAATTTTATTATGTTTAACAATTTTAAATCACTTTAACATGAAGGTTTAAATGCCAGGATATTTTGAGAACAAATTAACTAGGAACTGTTTTGCCTATCTGAACTTGTTCTTAAAGGATGTTTCCATAAGAAATAATCTAAATAGACAAATCTTCTGGAGTAAGATTGTTCTCTATTCAGTCTAATAAGGCTAAGGACTTCCTCTAGTGAAAGGAAGATTTATGTTCAGGCTTATATAAATATTGGGATTTCCCATGTTTGATGTTCTTCAGATCTAACTCAACTATCTAATTAGCATACACCAGGGAAGCTTACTGCTCTCGTGGTTTGCTTTGAATTACTGTGGGTGACGGGGTTTGGGACAGGTTTCTAGATTCTTGTGCATGACAAAGACATGAACGTGTCATGTGACAGTAAGGAGAAAGAAGAAAGGTTTAATAACGCAGCAATGTGCTCAGAGTAAATGGAATCACACCTTCAAAAAATGGCACAAGCACTGGGAGCATAAGGTGTATAGATGTAAAATCTTTTTTTTTTTAAATTCTATTTTAAAGAGAGTAGCAAATGAGAGAGAGAGAAAAAAGAAAAATAGCAGCATACCAGCATTACAAATATAAACACACCAAAGCAAGAACATTTAAAGTAATACCAGGTTTCAAGACAAAATAATACGAATTAACAGTGGTTGTTACATTACATATTACTGTCCTCAACTACGTTGTTCAGATTAACAGATATAAGAATGGAAGATTGTTGAAACTATTAAAGAGAATAAGAAAATAATTATTAGATAAAATATTAGAGATAATACAGAGTTTCACTAGACCAGATGGTAGGAATTCACCATAGTAATTCCATTGCATATTGTTGCTTTCAGATCAGTTGCTCAGATTACCAGACATAAGCATGCAAAATTGGTCAGAACATAAAAAATTTTAAGCATTAACTGTTCCTTTCAGTACATCACCAGACATCAGCAGTACAGTTATCACAGCTGTATATATAGCCTTCCTTCTTTCTTTTTTCTTCTTTCCCACCCCCCAGTCACTCCTTCCTTTGAGCAATTTCTTTCCCTTTCCTATCATCTATTGTGTGTTTTGAGCTTTATTTATTCTTTCAGGTGCCTACACCAGGGAAACAATATGATGTTTACACATGTGGGTCTGATTTATTTCACTTATGAGTATGGTCTCTAGTTGCATCCACTTACCTACAAAAGCCTCAAGTTTATCTTTCCTTATAACTGAGTAATATTCCTTGTATAAAATTACCACATCTTTTTTACCCATTCCTCAGTTGATGGGCATTTGGGTTGTTTCCAAGATTTACTTATTACCAACTGCACTGCTATAAACATAGGTGCACCTATATCACTGTGGTATGATGGTTTAATTCTTCTGGGAAAATACCCAGAAGGGGAACAGCTGAGTTAAGTGGGACTTCCAATCCTAGCTTTGAGAGGAGTCTCCAGACTGATTTCCACAGTGGTTTCACCAATCTACCCTCCCACCAGCAGTGGAGTAGGATTCCTTTCTCCCCACAGACTCTCCAGCATTTGCTGTTGGTTGATTTCTTGATGATAGTCATTCTTTCTGGGTGAGATGGAACCTGAATGTTTTAATTTGCATTTCTCAAATTACTAATGATGTCAAACATTTTTTAAATGTATTTATTCACCTTTAAATTTCTTCATTTAAGTTTATTCATCTCAGATATCCATTTTTGTAGTATGTCTTTTAATTTGGGGGGCCTAATTTTTTTTCATTCTTTATGTCCTAGATAGAAGTCCTTTGAGGGGCAGTTGGCTAAAATTTTTTCCCAATTCGTGGGTTTTCTTTTTACTCTGTTGCTGATTTCTTTTGATGTGCAAAAACTTTTCAATAAAATGAGATTCCAGTTGTTGATTCTTTGAAGTATTTCCCATGTAGTTTGGTATTTGTTCATGAACTTTCTGCCTACCCTTATGTCTTCAAGATTTTTATTTTCTCTTCCAATAAATTTAGTGTTTCTGTTTTAATATTTAGATCTTTGATCCATTTTGACTTTAGTTTACTGCCTGGTGAAAGACATGGGTCTAGTTTTAGTTTTTGGCACGTGGAAAGCCAGTTTTT